TTTATATATATTATAATGTTTCGGTAACCATTACAAAATGTATCTCATTTTATCATCAATTAAAACCATACAAGTAAAACGGGCATGGGATTGCTGAAAGAAGGAATTATATAAGTTTTCTGTATTATTTATTTTTATAATATATTATTTATTATTTTAGTCAGTTTATTCTCTGAAAGAGTTCTGTAAGGTTCTGGCATTAGTTCTTCACTTTGTATATGCTTCCAAAGCAATGGCCTTCGCATAAATATATTGATTGCTATATCAGATTGTATGTTCACGAATCCAATTATCACGAATTCCATGTATAAATTGTGTGTGGAGAAATACCTATGCCATCAAAGCCATATTTGACTTGAGAATCACATAAGTTAAAGTTGCAAAGTTGGAACATATTCAGCTATGGTTTGCTTTTCAGTTTGATATGTACAGGGTATCTGCCACATTTTATATTTTTAAATCACGAACTTTCCATGAATAATTCCAATAATTTTTCATGACTTACCGAAGTTACTATTTTCTCAGACAAAAACACTACAATAAATTTAAAAAAGCATTATAATAACATCGATTGAAATGATAGATATAACCAAAGCTGTTATACTCTCTGAATCTTCTTACTTATGGATTTTAAACTTAAAAACCGAGTAAAGAAAAAGTTGAAGCAATTAAATAGCTGGAAAAAAAATTACAAAAGCAAATAACTTTTATACAGTAATTTAAAGCTGCTTTATTTCTTCTTGAAAGTAAGTGTAATATAAAAAGCCTAAGCTCGAATTTTAAATTGATTAAAATAAAATAAATAATAATAATTAATAAAATTCTGAAATCACTGAAGTTTAAAAGATAATTCACTCTAGAAAGGATGTTCTTTCCTTCATTTTTTAAAGAACACAATCGAAACACTTTATGTTTTAATAAAATATGACTGAGAGTGGATATTTTGTTACAAATTCAGAACATTGTGAAATTGCGAATTGCATTTTTAAAAATTAAGATTGTTAAGTGACCGAAATCCGTTTTTTTTTTTTTAAAAAAAATACTTAAAATCATGACAAATTTTGTTCAATAATGTAATCCATGACTTTCTAGGTGTGCAGATACCCAATATGCACCCTAATAAATACCTATATGTACCCAAAGAATAGGGTATCAGGAGAGATACCTTATCCTTTGGCATGAGCATATGGGAGAAACATTGAACAAGTTTGTCATATTTCAAGTCTTTCAGACATTGTTCTAGTCCGAGAGAAGCAGACAAATTGTTATAGTGCACAGAACCAATAAAAGTAAACAAGAGTGCAACTTTTTTGAAAAAAATCCGAGACGTTTCTGACAACTACGAAATTTTCAAATCTTTCCATATAACAGAAATAAAAAAAAATTTTTTTTATTAATAACATGATTTTCATGGACATTTCCTTATCGTGATCAGCCGCACCAACTACAATCGCCAAAGTGCCAAATAGGTATTAAACTTGCAATTTTTAAAGAAAAAAAAACATGTAGTTGTTTATCTACGAGTGGCTACGAGATATACCTTTCGAGTTAGTCCCTTTCTGTGATTTTCTTTTTAGTTCCTCACAGGCCGCTGCCCGCAAGTTGCCAAGACTGAGAGATTATTCTGCCACAGATAAAGATATGGACATCTCCCTAATTTTCAAAGGGATTGATATTCGTAATAGATTCTGAAGTAATCCGAAGATTTTTTTGTGACTTAAGTTCTTCAATTAACAATTTTTGAGACGCAATATATTGGTGAAAGAAGCCAATGTTTCGAATTGTATTGCATCCGTTTTGGCGATACTAGAAGTGGCACTAATTGATAAAAAGTGATATATCAATTCATTTTTTTTGAACACGTGAAATATAAATTTTTTGTTGCTTTTTTTTTCAATAAATGTAAGACAAGCCATATCTTTCAGAATAAAGAGAAAGTACGTACGGCAAATGAATGCAAAACGGTAATTTGAAAATTATTTTGGAGTTTCGAATTTAGAAAATGAAATCGTTTACCTCGTCACAAACTTGATGTGAATATCAGAATTGAATAATGTGATATAATTTAATAGTGAACCAACTTGGACATTAAAAAAAGAGGAAATTGGTGCAATTCTTGCAAATATACATATACATATAAAAAACGAGACATACCTGACAAGATTGAAGAACTGGGACTTCCAACAAGTTCGTTCATTTCAACAAGGTGCATAATTCAGTTTCATCTTCAGCTAGTTTGTCTCATAAGTTTTTCTCTTAATAAATTTAAAACGACAAATCTTATAAGACTAAATTAGATTTAAATGTAACGAAGACAAAAGATAAATAGACCGCACGCGTAGCGGATAGTAATAAACATCATCTTAACACGCTACGGTTGAGTGTGGTATATCGTTTATTTCAGTATTTAGAGATATCGATCGATGTCGTGACAAAAACGCAATCGCAATATTGATATCAAATATTGTTCGGATATTTAAAAATTTGGGTAGACTATACTTGAGGGTGCCCCTTGATTCTCGCCAAGTTGGGCGATGTTGAAACCCAATCGTGATTCTGATTGGTTTAGATTTTAACGTTATTTTTAAATGTTCAACGGTATATGTAATTTCAGAGGTCCGTTAGTTCTACGTTGGATACCGGCTGGNAGTTCTAAAACTAGAAGATAGGATTCAAGAGCGTTGCGTTTTCTAGCAGGGCAGTATTATATTGCATCTTTCTAATATTAGATCATATCTTTTTGCTACCTGGGGTTGGATACCGGCTGGTAAGATTACTTTTGAATCTGGTCTATAAGATCGAAGGTATGTGGGCAGTCATAAAAAAGGATTTAAGAAAAAAATGTGACAGCTAGTAGAGACGCCATTTTCGATTCGTATTTCGTCTAAGTTATGTGTCGATGGAGGTGAACAGATTCTATTCATGATAAATTTAGACAGTATCTAACTGTTATTAGATAATTCTGTGCACCTAAATCTGAGAATATTCAAGCTTAATAAAGAAGTGAGTTGTTTTTTTCCATTTCTTTCTGCTCCTACTCCATTAATTTTTGCTTCGATTCAAAATCCTTTTTATTGGGTTTATTAACTTTGCTCATATTGGGTTCATTGCAAGTTTTGCCGATGTTTTGTTGAAATTTTCCAATGTTTTGGCCGCCATTCCTGTTACCACGATGTCCCGCTCAAACAGGAATAACGCCAAACATAAGTCGCCAATTTCGCCAAGGGGCACCCTCAAGTATATTTTTCCCAAAAATTTATATTTGCAATTATAACAATTTGATGTCCTTTTTTGTCTTTTAAAGGCTTAATTTTAATTTAAGAACACAATAAAATTTAAAATGAAAAGTTTTATAAAGAGACTTTTAACGTGAAATCGTACACACAATGTCGATCGATGTATATTAAAGCTGTTACAATATCCATGTGCTACTTGGGTCTAACATTTTTAAATCATCAAAATCTTCTTTCCTTTACCCTGTGTGCCAAAAGCCATGTCATACATATTTATTTTCCAAAAATACCCAGCTATTTTTCATATAAATTTTTTTGAATGAAGCTCTTCTTTTTAAAAAAAATCCAGCTGTTATTTTGCATAACAAAACAAGTATGCCAAAAAATCATGATGTAATTTTGGAAAACCTTGTGAAGTACTTTGTACAACTAAATAAGATTCTTTTCAGAACACTTAAATATTTTCTTTATTTTCTTCATATTTAGAGATAACTGTCGCCAAAGAATTCTGGTAGGTTAAAAAACATTTCGCTAAAAAAGAACGAATTCTAAAAGAAATAAAAATAAACAACTTAAAAAAATAAAAATACTGTTGCCAGCCATAGAATGTTTTGAAAGTTAACTTAGAAATGACAAACAAAACGATGGTAACAAAATGACGTAGAAAGCGCAACTATATCAAAATTATGATACCTGAGCACTTGACGTAACACCTTGAATGTTGCATTTTTAAAAACATTAGCAAATTTTTTACAATCAATTCTAAGAGATCAGTACATTCTTTTAATAAACGTGTAATAAAACAAATAGCAGAAAAGATGAAAGTTTTAAAAAAATCATCTACATCAACGATTCCTCTCACGTGCTACAGCATGTCAAATACGCCAAAAATTGTTGGGTGGAAGCGGAAAAAAAAAAGGTATAGTGCATCCACTGCGAAACTTGATTTACAGCGTGAAAAAAATTGAGTGGCCAGCAAATTTACGAAGACAAAATTCAACTGAAAAAAAGAATAAATCACCTGTGGTTTCTAAAGTCTGATTTATATCACCGTACATGAATGCAAAATACAAGATAGATAGATTAAAAAGGAATATAATACATAAAAATAATGAGCAAAAATTAACTTTTACTGTTTGCAACTTTTTAAGGCATGAGGTGTTAAAAAATCTAAATTTTTCTTGTCCTTCCAATCTATTAAACCATCTCAACACCTTAGTTTTTATAAAAATGTTTGAACAATCTCATTATTTCAGAATAATTTGCCGTTAATGATTTCCTTAGAATTTGTATTAAAAAAAATTACAAAAACTGAAAATGCCTTCTGTTTGTATTCTATATATTATGCCCTCTTTGACATTACAGTAACTATCTTATTTCACTAAGAGAAAATTTTGAGATAAAAAGACTTGACCTATTTTCAAGAAGAGACCCCTCAGAAATCATTCAGGGCATAAAAATGATTTTTTTTTTATTAGATCTCGGGTCATTGAAAACCAATTTTCAATATAGTGGAAACTCTGAATTCAGTAGCTCAATCCATGGTTCGAATGCATAGTCTTACACTATTAGGAAAGAAAGAATAATTAGCTAAATAGACCATTGTATTGAGTTTTTACCTTCATTAAAAGTATACACTTCGATTTCACATTAATGAAATATTTCAATTTTTTAAAAGAATCATAAGTTTTTGAAGGGTTGTCCTCATCTTTGTGTTTACTCAAGGCCTGAGCCTTCAAACATATTCTTGCAATAAATACACAAATGCAAGGGGACTAAAAATTTATTAATTAAAAATATATACATAAAGAAATATATCCAAAGTATATACATAAACGATTAGAGAGTAATTTTTTAAATCTTAGAGACTTAACTTTAAACTAAGTATTATGTAAAATTAAAATATCCATACAAAAACTTCAGCCAAATGAGCAAATATTACAATAAGTCTAAAAAAGAGAGGAAAAAAAATACACATAATACATTTATTGCCTGTGAATTCGATTGGAAATAATATTTTTACAGAATGAGACGAAAAATATTCGAAACAATAACAAAAAGGATATGCAGTTTCTTCTAATATTAAACTGCCCAAGATTAATATTATTGTTTGCATTCTATACTGTATACAAATTAGTTAAGAATATTCCTTCGATTGCCAGATGCTACCCTACAAGACTTGTTGTTAAACATATTTTCAGAAAACTCATTTTTTGAGAATATTTAACCATCCTCACTGATAAAAATTATTTGACAGAGAACAGATTTTTCAAGCAACTCATAAGAGACTGTAAATATGTATTATACTATTAGATTTCTTCACACTTTTGCCAGAATATTTCCTTTTTTCCAGTTTTTGTTTATTAATTTTTAGAATAATAAATTAAAAGGCATTTTGTTGAAAAGTTTTTTTAGAATGTTAAATTTTGAATAAATTAACTTTAAAATAAAGAAATATCAATAATAGAATAAGAACAGCATTAAAATAGCAGTTGAAAAGGTTTTGCATAAAATGGAATTCATTATGAATAGGTACAAACCTAACATAACATTTTTCAAATGAAAAAAAATATGTGTTTATAATATAATTGAAGATTTAATGCAATTGATGAGTTTTGAGGAATAGACATTTCAATATTAATTTAAATGTACTTTAAAATGTATAGAAAAATATTTGTATTCTTCAGTTACAGTACAGATCTTTAGGGTTATTGCGCAGGGAGACAGCAGAGAGTAAAATTCCATTTTTTATCGATTTTGCAGTTTTTTAATTAACTGTAATTGTGTACTGTTAATTCATTTCTAAAAATATATCTTTAAAGTTCCAACAGAATAAAAATTAATAACACGGTAATATTGTATGGTATTTATATTTTGTAATAACTGTTCATTTCAATTATTTAGAATCCAACTGTGTTATAAAATTAAATGTAAAAAACCTTACTTCAAAGTAAATATTTAAGTTTAATGCAGATGGAAACAAGTTTTGACATGTTATTTAATATGCATATAAAATATTGGAATTCATAGCATTTCCCCTCCAAAAAATCTGCCACTGACCTTCTCTGAAATAAAATTCTTCCAGCAGTCCTGCAACTTATTTATTTTTGAATCAGTACAGAAAATAGGGTTTCAAGAGAATAAAAAAATTAATCTTACTGCAGCTCTCTAAAATTTTGAATTAAAAAAAAATCTAACACTAAGCAAATCAATGATAATTAATTAATAAACAATTATCAATTAAAATCTTAACCATACATTATGTAGGTAAACATTTAACAATACAGCACAAATATATAACTAGACTTCTGTAGAGAAAAACTCTAGTAATACTAATAATATAACCAAAAAATTCAACGTATGAAAAGTAAATACTGATAGATAAGCTATTAACTTTAAGTGAAAACTTTAATTTACACTCAATTTTTTTCATGATCTAGTAACATAACTCTTAGATTAATATAAATACAAGATATATATATATATAGGACAGCACGTATAGCACCTTGAGTTTTCAAAAACTAAATAACATAAGAAAAGAGAATTAAACAAAATTTGTTCAATTTAATCAAAAATTAACAGATCTTTTAAAAAGATAAAACATCTGAGCTCACAGCTGCTCCCACAGTTCCACGTCTGTAGGATGATCTATGCATGCCATCTTTTGAGCATTTAGGCAAGCTATCAGAAACAACAACACCAAATCGTCCAGTTCCAGACACACTCTCTAGAAGAGGAGCACCACTAAGGTCGGGATAACTCCTCTCTTTTGAATGATGACTTTTACTGTAACCGTGACTAGCTATCTCTCTCATTCTGTCCTCTTTTATTTTCTTATACCTTTTCAGAGCAACGTCGATTGCATGGAACTGCCAATCCCATTTCACATTATACAAAAATGGCCTTTGATCATATCGGTTGTCATCAGGACTGTAAGTTTCAGCATGGTAAGAGGGTGTGAGAACAGTCATTTTATGACGATTTATCGAGTATTTCCTGAAAAAATGCTTCACTTTATCCGCTATATCATGTGCTTGCAAAATATTTGACCAAGTATTCACAAGTTTACAAAACATAGAGTAAGGACCGCAACCTCCTGGCTTACGCAAGTGACCATAAATGCTAAGTTCATCATAGGTCATGCCCATGTCTTCTTCATCTGTCTGGACTAACTTGCCTTCTACCAACGGTTCTAACTCGGCTGTCGGTTGCGCATCGAGAATTTCTCCCAATGCCGGTAAGCTAAATTGAAATATTGCATATTTTAAAAAAGATTTCAGATCTTTTTTACTAATTGATCCTATAGGATTGACATCTGCACTTGAGCAATCATACTTTGTGAGGTAGCCGGCAAGCCCCTCATCAACATTTCCAGAACCTAGCACTAGTAAGCCACCAGAGCGATTTCTAGTCCACAAAACCAATTGAGCAAGAAAATATGCCATAACCATTCGAATACGAGCTTGCACATTTTGTAAGGCTAAATTTTCTCGTGTATTTCCACCATGAGCACGGAATTTTGGTGTTACACCAGTAACTAAGGTAAACACAGCTAATATTGCATCTATTATTATATCAATTTTAATTTTCATATGGAAACTACCAACTTGTGAAGCCAAATCTTTTGCTCGATTGCAGGTTTCTTCCGATGAGTTTTTAGTGCCCATGTAACAAGTCACCAATATTTGATTACATAACTCTCTGGGATTTTGAGGTTTGTATTTTGAATCACCAATAATCTTTCGCAAGTCTTCCAAAACATTGGTGTCTCCATCAGATATAGCTTGACAAATTAAAGTACACATTGAATGAACAATAACAGCAGTACTACTACTATCAACTCCACCACTCAATGGTAAAAAGAAGCCACCTTGCCCACTTCGTCGTAAATAATCCCATAACCAGCAAGCTGGCCCTAAAGCAATCTCTTCATCAGGTGAATGATATTTCCACTCTTTTGGCTCAAACGTTGGCAAGAATAAGTCATTTGAGGATAAAGCAAAATCACATTGAACTCGAGGATAACGAGGTGCTGAAGCAGCAACTAAATTGCGACTACGAATGGCATTTCTGTAAATCCGGACATCTTCCAGATCTAATGTTGCAGTTATGACTTCAACATCTTGTAATGAAAATTGTTTGCCAATACTAACCATATGCCCATTAATTGCTACATGAGAGCAGCCTTGAAAATAAGTTCTCTCTCCATCACATCCACGCAAGTTTGAGAACAAATAAATGCCTCCACATTTAGCTGTAGCCGATTTTACCAAGTCTACAACAACATAGGCTTTTCTAAGCTCATGGTAGCATCCGCTACCATTGGAAATTATTTCAACTCCATCAAAGCTTTGTGATATATGTGAGCTCTGAGGGTTCCATAATTCTTCACAGATTTCAAAACCAATGCAGGTATCTAAAGTAGCAATCACAGCATCACCTATTAGGACAGTTTGTTGTCCACATATATCCTGAATCATTCTTGGCAAATGAAAATCTTCAGTTTGTTTCGTTTTAGTCCATGCAGTAAACCAACGAGTTTCTCGGTAGTTGCCATCATCACAAAGGATTAGTTTGGGTCGAATTAGAAGTATCTTCTTATTCAAAAATACAACTCTACAATTATAAGTCACATTCTTATGCATAATTGGCATTCCAATATCAATTATCATATCCTTGCAAACTGGATCCTGCAATAACTTAGCCAGTACTTCCCATGAATGAAGCAATGTATCACTCTCATAAAAATGATCACCACAACTATAGCCGGTAATTTCTAATTCTGGGCCACATCGATAAGTAGCACCTCTATCTCTGGCAATTTTAATGCTTTCAAGAATTCGTTCATAATTACCTCTAAAGTCCATTGCCCACTGATTAAGGGTGCATGTAGCAAGAGTAACTTTTCGACCCATGTTGAAGGAACAATTTGATGTTGAACTTGAAAATGTAGGCAACCTTTTAAAAAAAAGATAAAACATAAGACATATAAAAACATAGAATAAGACAAAACAATAAGAAAATTTTTTGCTGTTTCTCTTTCGCATTTCTTAGCATTTATAGCTTTTTATAGGCATTTTCATAGTGACACAGAATTTTTTTAAGACCATTTCTAATGAGCGTTCTTTTATCAACACTTACTCTAAAAATAAGGTAATGTGACAAAATTAAGTAGAGATTTTTAGCTTAAAATTTTTCATTTAAAAATTAAGAAAGATTCTTGCTTTGGTTTCTATATAGCTTTTTTGACGTCTTTATTATGACGCAGGATTTCTATTATATTTTATTCATTTTTCTTGAACATATAGTAATTGGAAAACAGATATTCAGCTTTAAAATTTTCTTTCGAGAGTTAATTAATGTAATTTTTTTTTCTATTTCGTTTTTTCACCTTTACAACGCTAGCTTTTTTTTAAATTTCTTTTAATACTTTTTCAGTTAGTTTTATATTTATCTTTGAAATTTTAAATGGATAACTATTATAGTTTTTTTTCGTTTTATTCTATACCAATAACATAACTAAGTTTTGATTAATTTTCAGCATTAACTAAACTTAAAAAATAATATTAATGATTTTACAAAAAAGGTTTCTATTTGGTAGCAGAATATTCGGCTGATTTTTTAGATTAATATTTTCAGCTATTCGACAAAATCCCTATTTGAAACTGTCCTACATCCCTAATTGAAAATGTCTATAACAAGCAAGCCCTTGAAACTACATCCCTAACTGAAACTGTCTATAACAAGCAAGTGATCTGTAATTTTTGTTAAATTGATGTGATACTGAATTGAAGTTATTTTATTGAAATCTCCTTGTAGCTATTACAGATAATTAAATTGAAAAAATTAATTCAATAAACAAAAAAGTTAATGGTTATTTAGAATAACAGCAGATAAATTACATGGATCAGTTTCAAACCATTGCATAAATACAGAACATCCATACGGATATTTTTGATTTTGAAAAGTATCTCAAATTTAGTATTCAACTTTTTTTAAATTTAGAATAAAGCTTTTGGTTACTCTTGTTACATTAAAAAGAAGAATTAAATTGGCTTTTATTATCACAGTAGTATATATTTTTTAAAATCATTTTTTTAATATTACTTAAAAAAGGATATTTACTGATATTATAAAAATAATACTTTAACAAAGTAAACAAAATTGCATTAATAATTGGTATCTGAAAACCAGCATTGAAATTCATAAATTTTTGGTATAAAAATTTTTATTTTCTAAAAAGTTACAGACTTTTAACTCAATGATACAAAATATGTCAATTCAATTTGAAGAAAAAATTCCTTCACTATGATCAGGTCTAATAATGTCTCAAAACCATGTTTTTCCCCAAATAATTTTAAAAACCTTGTTTTACTTAAGTACACAATTACTTTTGTATTTTTTCACCCATTTTTTTTCTTCTTTTTAAATTTCCTACAATACATACAAGTGAAATCTTTTGATAGAATTTTATTATTTTGAAACCATTAAAAATTAAGTGGTTTTCAAAAAAAAATTAAAACAAAGCTAATGCTTATTTCAACTTTTAAAAAAATCAGTCTTGAGTAAATCCACTTTTATTACTTTAATTAAAAAAATTAAGCAATGTTATTGATGTTATGAAAGAATATCTTATAACTAACATTTCCTTTTGTTATAGATTTATTGCTTAAAGATTGATAGATTTCTGAATGTGTAGTTTTATTCGAAAGAAATAATATTTTAATATATGCTATATCACCATACATCACTATATTTATCAAAGAATATATCACAATATATAATCACAATATTTATTGCTTAGCCCAGTCTTACTCCACATAAAAGTTTAAATCTAGCTGGATTCCTCAAAAATTAAAATGAAAAAAATAGGAAAAATATTTCAATGCCCAAATTACACTCCAACTTCGTATTAATAAATAAAATAACAAACTGTAAACTTATTTCCCTTTACGCATTTCCTTTTATTTTATAACAGACATTCAACAGTCCACCCAATTCTGAGTTTACAACTATCAATGTTCAACTTCGTAGCCATGTAATTTTGACCCCAATCCAGAAGACAAGGGAACATATGATTCAAACAGTGGGAAAAACTAATCTTCATAGAAAATTTCTTGATCATACTAACCCGCATTTGCATTACATGGAGAGGAAAACAACAAAAATTTCCCACGGTTACCCAGATAGCAAAGGAGACTCTTAACTGATTATCTGTCTATCACTGAGGATAACTTTATGTCAGCATCGTGGTCCGAATGAGTCAGGAGCAAAATTCATTGGAAAATGAATTTACTACGCCAATTAAACAAAGTCTATGAAAATAAATAAATATATTTATTCAGTCAAAGAAAGTTCACAATTTCTAGAAAATTTTGTAAACCAAGTTACTAAATTATGAAATCAATAACATATTTTAATCATGTCTGAGTTGATATAGGGTTCTTTTTTAAGTGTCCCATACATCCAGAGTGCTCCAAGTATTTAGAGTATTAAAATTAAACATAATTATTATAAAAACCTCAATGAGTAAAACCTATCAATATTCAACCAAAAGAGAGGCAAATAAGTAACCTTGCTTTTACTGCACATTTCAAAATACTCAAAATAAAAGACCAAATTTATTATTCAAACTAAAATAGAGAGAAAATCAGGCTTTCTTATTAAGGCAAAAGTAATAAGCAATTTTTTTGAAAACTCTAGATTTTAATTTACAAAACAACTGTGATCTGAGAAGATGCTGTACAGTAGGGGTACACAACCTTTTTAGTGAAGGGCCACTTGCACAGCAGGTTGGCTAACGAAGGGCCGCAGATGTATTTAGACATGTTAATGACAAAGTAGTAATGTTTATTTAAACATTAGCATTCCATTTTTTTAATCAATAAACTTAGTAATATCAATAACTTAGTAGTGTTCCATTATTGGAATTCATTCAAAAATAAAAATACTTGCTATGTTTATCATATGATCAATAGATTTATCAAAATAAATAAACATTGAAGAAAAGAAATGGTTTTTTTTTATCATATCATGCAATACGAAAATTCATTTTAGAATTAAATTCTAATAAATAAAAAAAGAACTGCAATGACACAGAAGGAAAGTAGGAAAAAGTTTAGTCATAATTAAGTAATATAAATTCAAATTAAATATTTTAATTGAAGAAAATTTATAGGTTTTAAACAAAAGCCTAAAATAAAAACAAAACTGCGATAGTTCAAAATAAAATTTAATGCTTATTTTGTAATGTACTTTATTATTTAATTAATTATTAGATTTTTTTTATATCTTAAACATTTTCCTTTTTTTTTTATCGAAAAAGATCACTTAAGCAACAAAAAATTGAAATCTAAACTACAAACAGTGAGCAGCTTAAAAATTCACGTTTTCCGTCATTTTATGAATTTCTCAAGTTGCAATAACATTGCATTTAAATTAGGGAGGGATGTAACGAGTATTTGGCCCTTCTGTGAAAAATTCAATTGGTTGAATGATCAGTCAAATATTCGGCAGAATATTATTTAGAAATGTATTTTTCCAAGTTTTTTTTATTTTTGAGTTTTTATAAATATTACTTTTTTTTTTTTTTTTAAATTATAATCAGACAAGTCAATTTTGTCATTTTTTCGATACTTTGAGAATTGAGAAGGATTTTTTTCCATTTTCCACTGTTTTTATTATAACCCAGCATTTTAACAGAATGTCTCCTACTATTAATTTATTATCCCTCTTTCCCTGTACTGTAATATAAATAACCAGTAACATAGAAAAGTGTGATTTTCGGTATTAAAGTTTTGTTTCAGAAACTAAGAAAAATGTGTTTTTTCTGTTTTTAGGTATTTTTATTATGACTCAGCATTTTTTTTTAAAATAAAGTTACTAATAAAATTTATTTTATAGCAATTTTTTTTCTTCTAAAATTATGGCAATGAGAAAAATTTAAATTGAGATTTTCGGCATAAGATTTTCATTTAAAAAATTAAGAACGTTTTTCCTATCTTTTTATTTTTTTTAAATAAAAAAAAAACTTTTTTTAGACGTTTTCCTTATAACGCAGTAATTTTTAATAGCATTTCTGTTAACTTAATTCTTTTTTCTTGGCTTTTTCTGGTAATTGAAAAACTGAGATGTTCAGCTTTAAAATTTTTTTCCAAAGATTAATGTTGATTTTTATATTCTCTGTCTCGCTTTTCAACATTTTCAAAAACGTTCTTGATTGGCTTTTTTTTTTAGAGTCAATTTATGAATACGTTATTCCAGGAAATATTATTCTGAGCATTGAAATTTTAATTTCAGTGTTGCTATGCTGCTAAAAGATTTTGCTATTTGGCCCCAAGTGTACGGCGTCAGTCGATTTTTTCTTCTTCTTCTTTTTTGTCGAATATTTGGTTTTTGATTAAATCACAATTCATTACCACATTCGACCAAATTATAATTGTTGCGGAAATAAAAACGAAGAAAAAATAACTAGGATTGACGATAAAACTGTACTGAAATACCGTATCAAAAAGGGATTATTTAATTGCGCGATTAACAATCATGTGTCGTAATAACATCTAGTTAAATAATAGGATTGTCAAAATCACGTGGAAAAGTATAGAAATAATTGGGGAAAAATATATTCATGCTGAACTCATCACGAATAAAGCGTGTCAAATGCATGATTTAAAATTTGTATGTCGTAATAGAACAATTGGAATTTTTTATAATACGTGGGAACGCATAGCAATAACTGCAGAAAAAATTGTTGAAAAAAAAAGAAAGAATTGCAAAAAAAAAGATACAAAATAACTTAGATTTACGATGAAATCGTCGCAAATAAAGTGCACAAAAAGTGAATATTTAAATTTGCGATCTGAAACTCGCGTCGGAAGAAAAATACCAGGTTTTCGAAATCACGTAGATAAGCGGAAATAACTGTTTTAAAAAAAAAATCATTTATATTTACGATAAAATTGGCTATTTACTAAAGAATCTGTTACAATTGATTGTGTCAAAACGTGATGACTTAAAAGCTCGATTAAAAATTGCCATTTTTAAAATTTTTTTTATTGTGTTTAGAAGCTCTCGCGGGCCGCACTTCAGCAGTCGAAGGGCCACAGGTTGTGCACCCCTACTGTACAGGAATAAAAAAGCTCACAGAAGAGGTCATTTTGAGATTTGAAAAGACACTCTCATTTAACACTGTTAAAATTTATCAAAATGTGTATTAACATGCAAAAACTGAATTTGATACTTTACAATTTTTAAATTGCCCTCTTATGTTGTTGTGTGTATTTAAAAAAGCATTGCAAATCACCCTTTTATTTATACGTATATTTAAAAAAAAAAAAAAAATCTCATTCTTCAAAATAAGCAAAAAATTTGTTCAAAAAAGTCAGCTAAAAATTAATTAATTGATCAACTATTTGAAAGCCTTAATCTATAACTTAAACGGAAAATTATGAGAAATGAACATTTAAAAGTGAATTTCCAAAAAGAGATATCTATTTTTTAAAAAATCATGTTAAAAATCACTTAATATAATCCCCCCCCCCAAAAAAAAGAGAAACTTTTAAAAATTTAACCAGTTGAGAATAATGCTAATAAAATAAATATCTGCATTATCAAAATGAAACCTAAAAATACAGATAATGTTACCAGTGTGTAATAATTATACAGTGAATTAAATTTTTTAAAATGGAATATCAATAAAAGACACTGTTTTTAAGAGATAGCAGCTTATTTTTACAAAAAAGGCTAATTTACAGGGATCAAGGGGCAGGCAGACGGGCCACCTTCTAGAAACGCTTAGGGAGAACACAGATGAGAGATAGATAAGCAGAAGACTACAGGCATTATTATAACAGGGTGGCCACTCAAATCAGGTTTCAAATTTCCCTGATTTTTCGAGGTTTTCCAGGTAAAAATCTTAACATTTCCACGTTAACGTGTTTTTTTTCTCATAAAGTATAGGATGGATACAACAAAAGTACCAATATTGTAAAGTATTTTATTTAAAATGATATTTTTTTTAATACATCATATTGAATAAATAAGTAAAATACATTTATTTTAACAACTTAGCAAGATTTTGTTTTCTATTTTTTATGTGTAATTTTTAACGTTTTGGTACAACATTAATTTAAAAAAAAAAAATTAAGATGGATGCGGAGAAAATAATATGTTTAGCATGTAAAATATATTGTTTTTATTGAATAAAAAAAGTTTAATGTATTCAGTAATTTTTGCACAAAATGCACCGAATGGGAAATACAGAGAGAAAAAAAAACTTGACAAGTATTGTTTAATATATTTTCACTAGGGATATAATAAATAGTGATTTGGCAGAAAAAAAACAAAGAAAAAGGAGAAACAGTTTCGGAAAATATCATCTCTGGAAAAAGAGTAACATTAACGAACTTTCGACATTGCTATTACTACACAATGTCAATTTTGAATTGGACATTGTGAATCAAATTTTAAATCAGAAGTCTAAATTTTTAATTAAAAATCAAATATTTACCAACAAAATGTTAACATATGGTTGGTCCTTAAAAGAACCTTTTTTTAAATTAAAATATGTTATAAAAGGTCAAAACGAAATCGAGAAAATAAGCATCAATGCAAAAATTGTAACGATTTGTTAACAAACATTGTTGTTAGCGATTGTAAGAAAATATGTGATTGATTGGCTTTGCTGAGAAAAATAATTCACCGATTTGGATGAGAGTACAAAAGCTTTTAGAAAAAGAGTGTAACATAAAATCTATTAAATTATGACCAACTAATTTGTGACAATGCAAGGCTGACGTCAGCCTTGATTGTCATATTTTTTTCATTTTTTCTTCGTCTCATGTGTTTTATTCCTCTTGGTTTCTCTATAAAATATAGTGCTGCTTAGTGCATTTTTTCCATTTGGATGCTATTTTTATTAATTGTTTGCATTAATATTTTGAATTCTTTTCCTAATTTGTGGTGAACTTTATCAAATTAAAAATACTAAAACATTCTTATTATTTAGTCGGAAGAAAGAAAAAAACTTAGAGCATCAGAACAAATTATAAATGGATTCAACCCACAGTTTAGAAGTTAAACAAATGCTACTTTTATAAACAGAAGCAAATATCTTAACTCCTTCTTCAACCTCCACCTTTCCTAAACTGTTTCTCCATTAATTTAGCAAACATGGGTTTTATGTGGCATTCTAATTTAACAGGGATTAATGGAGGAAATTTTGACAAATGCAAAATATTGCCAAGTTGATATTTCAACTGTTAGGCAATAAATTTCTGTCTAAAACAAGTGGGTATAACAGATCAAAAAATAAATCAGATTAAGAAAATCTTTAAAAAGAATTCCAGCTTTTCTTTAAAATCCCCTGATCTTTCCAGGCTTTTATCTAAATTTCCCTGACTTTTCCAGGTTTTTTTCAGCATAAAAAAATTTCCTGATAATTCCAGGTTTTCAAGCTGGGTGGCCACCCTGTGTAACCTTTCGTAATAAAAATTAAATCATCTTAAGAGATCGCGTACTATTTCATTAACAGCAAAAAAATAAAAACTGACAAAAGACGAACTAAAAGAAGCATCTATACATAAATGTTTTCTTATAAAGCAGGGATATTTCAGTATCATGATCCGTCAGGTCAACTACAATCGCCTAGGTGCTAAATAGATTTTAACTTGCAATTTTTTTTTATTTAATGTAGATGCTTGCCCGGGGGTGGCTACGAGTTATACCTTTCGAGTTGGTCCTTCTCTGTGATGTTTTTTTTAGTTTCTCGCCGGCCCTTGAAGTTGCCAAAACTACGGGTGATTAGGACCTAGATGTCCTTCTTTATTAAATGCGAGTCCCTGTTTAAAATATTGTGTCACCTCTACCTCTTCATCCATAATTAATATGCACGTTCACGTCTATTCTCTCTGTTGATAGACAAAACAAAGAATTCTAAGGCAAGAAGAGTTCTTGAAGAATCGCGGTTTTCAATTAGGACTTGGACTAACACACCTCCATCAGGGAAAAGCAAGGATGAATTAATGCTCACAATTATTCTTATTGTTTCTTTTAGCTACAAATAAGACCGAAAAAGACAATTTATACACTTATAAATATTTGAAGATTGGTTATATTTTTGTCAACATAAATATGCTGGTGGTAATTGTTTGCATAACAATACAGCCGTAGGACTTACTTTAAAATTGTTTGATTGTTGTTGGTAAACTCTAATAGTTTCTAACTTCCAAAATACTTATGAGAAAGAGGATTTTATCTGATTACAGAGGCAGCAAGAAATATTTTAAGATAACTTATCACTTTTCCGTGACCTCCAAACAAACCATGATGCCGTATCCATGCGACAACAACAAATACAAGTTGAAGTAGAAAGAATAAACAAAGTTGATTAAAAAGTCCGTTTGTAACCTCAAACCTAGAAAAAAGCTTATTCCCATTTTCACGGTCGTTTTTCGCACTGTCTTGAATGCCAGCCGTTTTATAACCCTAAACTTTGGCAATCAGCAGAAATGGGTGATTGCCAAACGAATTCTATCGCCAAGAACTTGGATGCCCGATTGCATGTAAACTCTCTTTACATCTATAGTATCCCCAAGATATTTTGAGCGCGCTGATTGGATTTCTCGGCATTGCCTTCTGCTATGTCTGTTTGTAGCTCCTCCCCAACATCACTTCTCCGTAGTTTGATCACAAATTGTAAATCAATCATATATCACCAGTATATTTCTCATACTAATTTTAAGACAAATGTTAAAGTTTTGTACTAAATATAAAATATAAGGGGCCAGGTGCCCAGTTTTATTAAATAAAGGAAAGGACAAAGCATAAAATAGCGTCATCAATGGTATTTTAATACTAACACATTTATTTAAATCTAATTTGCTTTAAATTTTATTCCTATATTTTTCTTTATTTGCTTAAAATATTTTTTTTGTACGTTTCAGTATAATATATTTAATATTAATGTTATGAATTTCAGGGAAATAAAGGTAAACAACCATGTTTTGGTAAAACATCAAATTAGTACAATAGTAATTATTAAACATAAATTAAAGCTTTATTAGCTAGCTTTTATATAATAAATATAAGAATTGGTTAATATTCAAATTGAATAGTATTATTAATCTCCTTACGCACTTAGAAATTAAATTCTCTTACTTTAATTTATTAAGTATGATTGCAGAACCATTCTGTTCAGTTTGAATTTATTATATGAGATTTCAAAATGTATATAAATATTATTGTAAAATTAGGTTTGATTATTTGAAAAAGGTTTTATCATATTTTAGCGGAAAATATTATTTTAGAAAGGAATCTGATTTCCTTGTTAATTTTTTCTCGTTATAGATACACTTCACTCGTTATAGATATTGTTCCTTGACAATTTGAATTTTTTGAGAAACGTCTTTTACACTTTTCCTGCGTCAATTTCATAAACGGACTGTGGTGACAAACAAATAATTTCCTGCAATTAAATAATAAAATATTTACAATCCAATAGAAATGAACTAGAATTAAAAGACAGAATTTTTTGATAATTTATTCATTACTCATGATATTAATTCAATGGACAATTCATAATCATTCTCTTTGATTTTGGTGGGAATTATGCATCAAAAATTAATAAAATAAACATCTTATGGATGGTGTTTTCTACACTACCCAAGTAGCACTCAATATCGATTGATCTTGAAAAAACTTCGCTTACGACGTCGATCGATGTTGTTCCGAAATATCGATGTATGTAAAAACGCCCGATTTTTTTTAATATTGTGCGACATTGTAAAATTGGTATGGATCGATATTTCACTAGCGCCGTAGAATGCCGAGTTTGAAAAAAACATATTACACGGCGTTTACAGATGCAGTAGAATGTCGATGAATATTTTCATCACGTTATTCGTACAATAAATATTTATAAGCATTTAAAGATGCGTCAGAACGCCGATCGATAATTCTGATACGTTATTCAAGAAAAATTTTTCATTGGGTATTGTAGGATATAGGTACATGTCTCAATTATTTTATACGGTTTTGCACTTCAGATTTTATTTCGCTAATTGCACTCCAGGCTGTACAGTTGCAGATTCAATTAATTAGATTTATAATGAGTAAAAAGAAATCCTTAGATTTATACTGCGCAAAATTTGTCCAGGATATCTTGAAAAGAACTACATGCTCTGCTCAGTCTATGCCTATTTAACAGAAAATTAATTATTTCCTTGCATGCTATACAACAAGCATTCTGCAAACTAGTGAACAAAGATTTCATATTGTTTTTAACATTGCCTTAAAATAAAATATCTATAAGTATTTAAGTCATACTTTCAAAGTTCAAGGCGTGTAGCCAGATTTTTCAACAAAATAAGCAATCAAAAATATTATTAATCAGTTTCCAAAAAAATATTTATATAATTAGGATTTGCGCAGTAATAAGCTTAAAAATTAATTAAGTGTAAAATAGGTAAATAGGAATAAGTGTGAGCACTGTAGATGGAATGTAAGAAGTGATTATTAATGTAAGGCATGATAATTACTTTCAACTCAACTATGATTTATAAATCAAAATCAAAGACTATTTGCTTGTTTTAAAATAACCACATTTTACATGTACGTAAATTAGTTTTCTTATTTTTTAACATTTGCGATGCACATTTGATCTTCAGGCAGGATTCAGTCACTGAAAATAAGTAATTTAATATATTACACAACAGCACTAAAAACTCAAAAAATATCATAATATTATGGGCTTAATAAAATTTGCCCATCTGATATGTAATTATAGAAGGTGTAAATGCAGAGGAATAAAACAAAAAGTAGCTATGAATATTTTATTTGAATTAGTAAAACAAATTGGCACATTCTTGGGTCTCCAAGTCCAAAGAATTGGTCACGTCAATTATCTTAGGTTTTCGTCCTTCCCAATCAGTGGCTGCAGCCAGGACCTCTCCAAATTTTTCCACAAGCTCTTGGCCTCAAAGCGTCTGAGAACTGTAGCTGGAAGCAAAACATTGAGTAATATTAATAACATTTAAAAAATAAAAGCTGAAAGACTATCTAACAAAACACAATTTATTAAGGAGTATATATATATATATATATATATATATAATATTCAGGTACATTTCGCAGTGTTTCAGCAATATTTAGAATTGTTTCCTAGAAGCGTTTTTCAATATTTCGGTAACCTCCGCGGTGCTAGACTACCAACAGTATCAACTGTCTTCTATCAAAAGCTATCTAAGGATAAAATCAAGTTAACATAAGTATCTTACACACTAGTGAATTGGAATTTATAAGTCGTAGTGGTAGCTACGCTACACTCTGAAACTGAATAGGCGTCAATGCGATTCAATTTCCTACTTCTTGAAATAAAAGAAAGGTTTTAAGAAGGATACTTGGAAGGATGCATGGAATGGAAACATGATATTAAATAAAGTTCTCTGATATTTACTAGATTAACTGGTTATTATATAAAAATCATGAAACTTATCACATTTGTCTCAACATATCTGTTTCAAATTTCGTTTATCTACCCAATTCTTTCATCGTGTGGAATTTTTGGGAAACAACGTGTATTTACATAATGAAACTTATAGACGAAAAGTCAAAATAAATTTTCCACTTTCCGAATTTTCTTCTCGATATTGCATTTCTGTGTCGGTTTATGAAAACAACGTGTTTCAACCATATGAAGTTAACAATAGCTCTTTATATCAAGATTTTATTTAGATTTAGTAAACTTGATCAGTATCGGTAGGCGGCTTGGTATCAAGGAGGAAAAAGCTATAGCTTACGAAATATCTTAAATGTAATACTGGTAAAAATAATCGAGGTCCCACGATGATGAGTTCTATTTAACTTAATATCCAATCGTATAAATAGTTATAATATGCAATCAGTTGTTAAACAGTGCAGAAAAAGGAGACTAAAAAATGGAATGTAGACGTAATATAGGTATTAATAATACAGTAAAGTGCCGATTATACGAACCCTTATTATTCGAACGTCCAATTATCCGAACTATGTCCTAATTCGTTTTTTTTTTCCTTTTAAGTTAAGAATACTTTTTAACTTATCGACAATATAAAAAAAAGAGCATCTTCTTTGAAACAAAGGTCTTTTCTGGATTTCTTTTGCAATGGGATGAAAAGAAAAAGTCAGTAATTGACAAAAAATATTTATAAAAAGCTGAAATATGAAAAAATAAATACGAAATGAGAAAAAAGTTTTTAAAAAAATTTAATAAATAAAAAATATTTAAAAATTGAAAAAAAATTTTTTTAAACACTCCAGTATTTTAGATAGTAGTGCCAGTTTTAACCCCCCGTCCCGCAGTGGATCGTTAAGACACGGCTCCCAGCAGGTCACCGAAGTCAAGCATCACTGGCTACGGTCAGTGTGCGGGTGGGTGACCACTTGGATCAGTCTGCGTAGGAACCGAGGGTGTGCGGTATGGGTCCTTGTTGAACTGTTCTACCGTAAAGTGCTCGACTTCGCGTGCAGGTCGTCGGGCTATCGAAGCGGGGTGCCATCCCTTCTGCAGAGGATCAAAATTATAATGGCATATCTTCGGATCATCCTCAGGGGTGTCTCCCAGACCATCGCCAATAGCCCACCGTGCAACTCTAGTGCGACGTAAATTAACTATAACTAGCTAACTAGCTTTAACCCTTTTAAAAGTGTGAATAGATGTTAGTGAATAAATAACAATCGTTTAAACAAGATTTTAAACAAATTTCCAATTATCCGAACGAAGATCGGTCCCGAGCAGTTCGAATAATCGGCCCTCTACTGTATTTCCGCAAGTAAATCGCTTAGAAACTAATAGTATATAACTAAAGTTGACATTTACTAATAAAAATACCGTATTATTCTATATATATTTATATTTGTTTTTCCTTTCAGAATTACGAGAGCCTAATTTTTCTTGTGGTTTTTATGATTAAATTTCATCATGCCACCAACGTAGATGAATTACCTAGTCAAATACCTAAGCNGCCTATATATATATATATATACTCAAAGTTTCACTATAGTGAAACTTTGAGAACTGAATTGAATGAAGGGCCTAGAGAATCGGCACAAGGATCAAGAAAGGGCATGCTGCATTAGACACTCTTTTGTAAAACTGTCTGAATATTTAAGCGGCAATGCTGTATCTTTGATTAAATAATAGATTCTTCAGCAACAAAAAACACTATAATAAAAAGCTTATCAGTTCAGCTTTAATTGTATTTCTTAATTTTCAATTTTACTTCTATGTATTAATCTTAAACTAATGTGAATACAGAAAAAGTATCAAAGTTGAAAATAAGATTTATTTTTAAAGTTTAGATCTGATATTGATTACTTATGATTGCTTATACTTAGAAGTATAATTAAACAAAAGCTCCAACTTATTATAAATACACTGCATTTACAAATGCATTCATATATTTCCCTGATTGCGACTACCCTCTAGATTTTG